CTCAGTGGTTCCATAAAGGTAGACTGTTGCAGACTGCAACTCTCCAACCGCAGACTCTTACAAAGACACACCTTTTCTCAGAGCCTCTTTTGAAAAGATAACCATCCTTTTGTGGCATGGTACCAGGACTGGCCAGCAGGGGTTGGCGTCAAAAGACCTTGGACTCTCAAAGAAACCAAACAAAAACTGCAACCCATGTCGATGCTTCTCCCTTATTATTTACTTCATCAGAAATCCAGCGGTTTGGTGTAGAACAGCCAGGTTGGCTGCACCTTAGTTTCCTTGGAAATTTAGGCCAGACTCACTGTTTGCTGTGACTCCTACATGAAGGCACCGCCATGTATCAGGCTTCAAAAATGGCAGTGGGTAGGAAATGGAAGGGTTGGGGTTTGATCCATACTGGGAATGAAGTCACATGCATCTGTGACATGAGACGTCCTGAAACCCTTGGAAGACTATTAATGACTCTTCAAATTGCTGTGGTTGGTACCCAGTAGTTAATCCTGAACGCCAGCAGTGGAAAAATTAAACATTTCCATTTCTGGAAACCAGATGAAAAAGACTAATTACTCCATTGGGTCCAGTGTTGACACAAAAATGTTTCAACTGCACTGTCTAAAGTAATCAAAGCCATGCAGGAACCACACATTTTCATCGGCTTTATAAATTATTTCATATGTTGTTTAATTTTATATTTCCGCTCCAACTAAAGCCCTTTGTTTCGTCAAACAATAGTCCATTAGGGGCTTGGTGCTTTCTTCGTCATGATACATAGCTGTCCAGCCACCTGTGGTTATTGTTTACAGAGGGAAGTCTTCACATAACAGTAGAAATTCCTGATGGTAGACCCCCGAGGGCAGCAGAAAAAGAAAGAATCAAAGAAAACAGGGAAGGAATCTCTGTGATGTCTGTGCCTGTAGTTAACTGTATCACAACAGAGATAGAAATAGACAGGACAGTACAATACATAAACATCGGACTGAACTGATTTTATCACCCTTATCTGAACCTCACTGATAAGTGGAACAAAAATGAGCAGTAAAAATAGACCAAAATACTTCCATATTACAGGGTGACTTTTTCCAACTCATCCCTGCGGTTGTACCAATATCAAGAGCCATGTGAAATCTTCCAAAAACAACAGAACAAATAACCTGCTTCATGTCAAAACAGCCAAAAAAACTCAAAGAAACTGCAGAGGTAGCGTGTACCAGTCACCGCCACAGCTGAACCAACAGAGCAGTAGTTAATGAACTCTTTTGCTCCCTCTAGCAACAGTGTGTACATGGATCCTGATGAGTATTTTCTTTCACCTTTAACTTCATCTTGCAGAAACTCTTGGATTGAGTTGCTTTTTAATCAAACTCTCCCTCTTAAAAATGCCATAACAAAGTGAGAAGTTTCGCAAGTCAGCAGAACAGTTTAAACCTGTAAATCCAGACGCTAACTCCCTATTGAAATCCAAGCCAGGCTGCATTGAAGTGGAATACAAAAACACCCCTTTAACAAAAGTCTTTGGTGAATTCTCTCTACATACACTGCCTACAGTATGAATATGTGCCTGCTGGTCTGCAAAGTAATAAAAGGAGTGCGGTTCACTGCAGCTTATACTGGAGGATCGGAGGTTTCCCATTATGTACTGTCGGAATGATGCACAAGATATGTATACAGTAGTTACCGAGTATCATTAATCACTGAACTCTATTGGGGTCTGTGTCATGTGAACCCTGCCACCAGCCTCTAACATGGTTGTATTTACTACAAGCAGCTCAACATTAGTGATGTGATAGTAAACATAAAAACTTGCCTGAGGCTGTTTGAAGAGGTCTGTAGGGCAGTAGTTACCGAGTATCATTAATCACTAAACTAAATTGGGGTCTGTGTCATGTGAACCCTGCCACCAGCCTCTAACATGGTTGTATTTACTACAAGCAGCTCAACATTAGTGATGTGATAGTAAACATAAAAACTTGCCTGAGGCTGTGTGAAGAGGTCTGTAGGGACTGTACAACTTATCATTCAAAAAAAATCACACAACACCATTAGAATTGGTTCCATAGTGTAGCGGTGCCTTAGAAATATTGAGCAGAGAGTTCTGGGTTCTATTCCCAGAGGAACCACATGCTTGACTATTAATCCCCCTCTTATAAGTTGTTTTGTTAAAAGTGTATGCTAAATGTAAATTGAAATTTTGGTATTTAAAATACATTATGACTGACTAGCGATGTTAATATGATTTGCAATACGAACAGGGGTTTCTACATACTGTCAAGTAGATCAGTATTCATGTAAACAGTTATAAAGATCATATATTTCTGGTGGGGTTATATAAGCCTTTCCTATGTTGATGGGACCTCTCAAGGAATTCTCAGGTCCAGGCAGGTGCATGACTGTCTGCTGTGTCCGTGCAGGAGACTAAATAACAAAGACTCCAGCCAACTGTTGGTGGCTGTATATCTGTTTGTCTGAGCATGGTTTGTGTGTTGTTGGAGGTGTGTGGGGGGAGTAGTTGGAGAAATAAACAGCTGAAACTGTTGTAGGTCTCCGAGTACATGCATGCTACTGTGATTAAGACTGCGTCACCCGCAACAGACAGACAGCTGTCTGGCAGCTGCCTCCAGCAGCCAAGCTCAGTGAGTGTGAAGCCCAAGTCTGAGAGACTTCAGAGGAATAACCCAGTCGACACACAGTCATCCTCAACAATTACAGCTGAGTCACAAATGTTTTTGTTTCTTGGGCAACATCATGGACTGACTGAAGTAATGCTGTCCTCAGCAGAGAGATATTTATGATTTTTATGTCCTTCACGGGAATTTGGCATCAACAACCATGAAATGTTAAAAACATTAGGAACCACTGACTTAGTCTTTAATACTATTTTAACATGTTTTCATTTCATGTCCTCATATGTAATGGGCAAGGCAAGATACAGCACATTATCATGCAAAAGAAATTATTTTATGGTATGGTTTGGTATTTCTGCTAATGCATTTTAATTTGAATTATGGTACAGATTTGTTCTATACCATCCCTGTCCTGAAAACAAACACCAACAAATCAGCTATTGTTCAATTATCTTCTCAGACCTGATGGTCTCAGATTTATACACTTCTGTTTTTGTTTAAAGCTTTTTGCAATGTACCTTTTCTAACATTTTCTAAAAATAAAATAAACCCAAATCAAAGGCAATCGGCCACAGCAGAGTTGCATCCCAACAACACAAACACTGAGCACTATAAAAGAGTACTGACGGAGATCAAAATGGACATCCCCAAAAAAGTCTAGAACAGTAAGGCAAAAGAGAAGGAACTAGGAGGAGCACAAGATGGAGAGACCAAATTAGAAAACTGAGAGTTTTTGTGGTTTTGGCGATGAAGAAATCCCAGAGGAGAGCTAATGACTGTGGTGGTATCTGGCTTCGGGGCTGAGTTTCCTTGACTGGTTGTTTCTGAAGTTTCCTCCAGTCCACAGCCACCATGTCAATACCAACATATGGCTTGCTATCTAGCAATTACACCATTATCAAGGTCTTTCCTCCCACTGATTTCCAATATAGTATGTTGCCGGGCAGTTTTTACAGGAAATGAATCCTTCTGGTCAGTCTGAAGAAAAAAATCAGCACGTTCCATATGAATGAACCCCTCACTGCACACCACTGCTGGTTTTGAAGCCTTTTGTATTCCGATAGTGAAGCTATAACATTGTAGTTGTTGGAATCAGCTGTAAGCTCCACCCAACTCTTTCACCCCCCAAAAGGAAAAATAATGCACACAGAGACTTACATTCTATAAGGAATATAGTACTATCCTTGGCTCCTTGCTATAAATAAGGTAAAACACAAGGTGCGTCTAGTATCTTATTTTGTTTCTAAACACTGCACTACACGGAGGAAGTAATAGTAATAAATATTCATGAAGTAATAAATATTCATATTCATGATTCTTTAAAAATCCTTATTTAAGATTACTTAGGACAAACCCAGCTGTATCAAGTCAAAGCCAATAGGCCAATAGTTTCATGGATATTGGCCTGACCATAGAAGAAAGACTTCAATAAAGCAGTGGCACAGATATCTCGTCTGTGCAGGGCTAACTGTGGGGCAAACTGACCGTGGTGAGCTGTTGTTTCCCTGTGACCTCTCATCTGTCTGAGCAGCTCTAAACAACAGAGAGGAGTGGTCAGGTTTTATTGTCCCAGCATGAGAAAAGGGGAGAGGGCTGCTTTGGCTTGATGGATGAGCCCAACTGGACAGAGTGAGGCTGGTATAAAGAAGCCATGACTGGCCATAAAAGTCGGCAGCTCCCAGATTTCTCGTACACAGAAAGTCCCGAATTTATGTGTGTGTTTGTGTGCGAGCCGCTCCAAAGTTGTGTGTGTGGGTGAGTAGGTGTGTGTAAACAGGGTGTGTGTTATCACTTGTGATTCATGGAGGTAGGAAGAGAAATAAAACAAAAGTAATGTCACTCTTTGAACTCAGCTGGAGAGCACTGAAGGTGAGTGATGTGTTAAGAAAAGCCAGACTATTTCAGCCTCTAATCTTCACAGTGAATGACGAGTGAAGCAATCGCATCACACTGCAGGATAGACAGGCCAACTACAAGACATGTAACAACTGTACACATGAAGATTCTTTGAACTAGAGAAACCTAAGGAGAAAACACAAGTCAGGGCTGGCAGATGCAGTCTAAGCATAAATGGTCAATCAGCTGTGTCAAGAAACAGCATTGAGGCTGCAGTGAATGAGAAAAAGAGACGAGTCAACACTGTATCACTGACAATGACTCATGTTAGGTCATGTTGGAAATGGTACAGTTTTCCATAAGTGAGGTAAACATCTGTTATGACACAATGACTGCACTGTCTCTGGAGGTTAAGAGACACGCAGAGATGGACAGTGTCCCGCCCTCTATCCATATCCATATCTTTCTATATATATATCCCCATATATATATATATTTATATATACAGTATATGGGGTTTCTGCCTGATGTTGCACATACCTGACTCCTTTTTGCTCCCCTTGCCTCCATCTCTGCTCTTCTTCAACACTGCCTTGAACATGGTGAGATTCTTGGAATCCTCGTTGTCGTTGAGTCCCTGGACAGAAAAAGCCAAATATATGTTAGTCACGCCCATGGAAAGACAACAGGACTGCTGCATCAGTTGTTCCTCAGGGAAACAAGAGACATTATCCAGCAGCACAAACAAACTGTATTTATATTTATAAAACAGAACTGAGGTTATTTCCTTGTTTCACCTACAAATGACAAACATGGGGACTTATCTTTCTTTACACAGTTTATTTAACCAGTAAAAATATACAAAAATATGTCCTGGAAAACCTAACATGGCAACGACAAAACAGTGCATATCTGCATTTCATACTGCTTAGCTGGCACCCGCCTGGGAGTTTTCCCACAGCTCTCCCAATCCTGCAGGTCATCAGTGGCAGGGCACATGGAAAGAATGCTCTAATATTTAAACAGAAAAGGACATGTTCTGCTATCTTGTTATGCAGGAAAACACCATGTCAAATGCCCCGAATTCCACATGTAATTGATGCTACAGTATGTGGCTGAACTTGAGGTGTTTGCATTTGCTCTCCACGGTTCTTCTCAAGCTGGTGTGTATTTTAAGTCCTTGGAGTTAAATGGTATAAAATGAACCTAGGGTTTAACCATGACGTGTTTATTAATAGTAGATTTACTTGTAGTCAAATCAGGTGGACGAATCTTGTTAAATCGCAAATAAAGCCATTAAATAGGTTTGGAACTACACAAACACGATGTAGACTCTCACATTAATAGCAGCCAAGCAATTTTCCAATAAGGAAAAAAAGATTACTTTCAACCAAATAAGGTTATGCTGTCTGCAGTCAAAACAGTAACTTGCATCAAGTCCTTTACTCATGGGACCAGACTTTAAATATCTCGGTACTGTTACTGCTGCAGAGAGAGCTCATCGATCTGCTCTTTTCAACCTTAATGGTGTTACATGAAGCAATTATTCCACTGCATCCTATATCGGCGTTGGAGGAGCACAGGGTAAAGCACTGATGCACTCCTGCATCTAATCATGGCCTTAACAGGGTTTTTCTCCAAAACCAAACATAAATCAATGTAATAAATACTGCTTCGAGGTAACACCTGGGTCGAAGTTTTATTTTAAACTGCACAAAGAAAAAAAAAACACACATTTTCTTACCTTGCCCCAATTGGATTTAATTACACTCCATGTTTTGTCTTCTATTGAGTCTGGTTACTCATGAAAGCTAGGATTAAATTATGTGTCATGTAAAATGAAGAGCTCAAACCAAAGTCTTGCGTATGGCGCTCAAACAGTGTATTATCCAGGTCAGCTGAGCTGCTGATTGCTACTCATTTCAACAGGAACAATAAACATCACCTAGTTTAACCCATAGAAAATGAAAACCACTCCACTCCTAGAACTCCAAAAGCAGACCAGACAAATTCTTTCCATCCCCCACCTTGTCTGTCGTAGCTCCCAGACACAGACGGCCAGTTTCTGGTCACGAGAGGTAGAACCATCACAGAGTTCAGCATCTGTTGAAGAACTCACTGCACTTGTGTAATAATGTGCTCGAACTGAAGAGACCAAGAAATCACAAAATATTACTGACATGGGAACAAAAAAACTAATGTGCACTAAATAGTAGAACAGACTAAAATGTATCCTTGTGTGGCTCAAGTCAACTTCTTTTAAACCAAATAAGGGAAAATCATTTGTACATATGACAAGGAAATGTATATAACAGTGGTGTGGGAAACATTAAAAAGTATCTAATAATCTAATTAGAGGGTTTGTTATAAATTAATTGTGATCCATTGCATTTTTATATTCAACATATAAATATGCATTTGGTTTAAATAAACAACAAAGTGTTTGTATACAAATTGTGTATTTTTCATCTGTCTATTAAAATTAAGGCCGTCATATTCAGCATCATAAGACTTCATTTTGGTTTTGAACTCAACTATTGTTGGCTGGCTACACCTATTGCCTGGTTTTTGTTGATAGCACAGCATAAATCATAAATCAAATTTAAACATATTATTACACCATATTATTAC